AACTATTTTCTCTCAGGAGGAGATCTTGGAACTGTGGTAGATAATATTGTGTAAACATCAGCTCACTGTCCAGACATGGTCAAGCAAGTAAATAGGACAGTAAGGATTAGTAAAAAAGGAGCATTTTTAAAAGGATAAAGTGTGTAGAAAAGAAAAGAATTATGCCAGTTTTAATCCCTGGTAGATATGCCTTCAAAGCACTGAAGCAAGGCTTGGTTTTCTAACCTGAAATAATAGGTAGAAAAAAATACAGAGGTGGACAATAAGAAGGATTAGGCACAATTTCTTTGTAAAGAACAGCAGGATAGATTAGAAGTCTTTAAGCCAGAGATCTGTAAAAGCAGAATAAAAGAGGACTGTGGTTGTTCACTTTCTCTGCCATTCAAATGTAGGTTAGCTGAACTTTACAGTGGTACTTCAGTTACAGATGTTCTGTCATTTTATGTGAAGCAGCCACATTGCTTGTATACTCCTTATAATGCAGGATAATAAGCCTCTGAATATTTAGCAGGTACCTTCATTGTTCTGTGAGTAATGACTAGGAATAAATCTACTTCTTTGTTTAGTTTTGAATCTAGGGGAGAAGGGAGAAATGCCACTGGAAGAATGTGGTATTCACTGCTGGCAGTGTGTGGAAGCCTGGTACATTATGGCTACTGGGAAGATGAATTTTGAAATTGTATGGATTTACATCCCAGCAAAAACATTTCACATTTCATTAATATGAAAAAATAGTTGAAAAGGTGTGCAAACTCTGAAATGCTAGGAACCTTACCTTTTTGTTTTTAATTACCTGAGATCTTTATTTTGTAAGTAGAGGAAGTAAACTACTGCCCCTTTTCTGGCTTTGCATAGCTCTTTGCAAAGAAGCCACTGAAAACCCAATGTTACTACAATATTACTATTAATCAGAGGCAATAGTGTGAGACATCGGGATTGTTTAGTGTTTTATGGTCTCAGGATTCGCCCACAAAGGGATCTCAGTTCTTTTTTTGCTGAAAATCAAGTCGTAAGTAAGTAATCATCACAAATATGATAATTTTGCAAGTGAGATAAAGTATACTAATACTGCCTGCCTAGTCATTATGTAATGCTTAAGACAAAAAAAAAATCTATATAATCCACACAGTGCATAATTACTTCTAGTATTGCATTAGCTAGTTTCTAGTATTGCATGTACCTTGACTGATGCAAGATTCTGATACTTTGTGAAACAAGTCCTTCTGATTAATCTTTAAGCAGAATGAATAAGCTTCAGTATTATGCATAGATATAGTGCTACAAAAAAATCCACCAGTGCATTCCCTCGTGCATTATCCTGTCAACTTAAGTTTAACTATTTCACATGAGCAGTTTCTCACTTGTGGATCAGCAAAAAAAAAGGTATATTTATACTACCTTTCAACAAGATTCCCCTTTCCTTACATTTCTTGAAGATCGAACAATGTTATGTTTAGCACAGTTCATGTTAGCATGTCTGTTCTAGTTTTAGGTGGCTCTCCTCCTCAGCTTCAGAGATTTTTTTTTTAAAATTCCTGAAATAGCCCTTAGTTTTTCCCCAATAAGAGGTTTGCCTTTAGCTGCCCGTCAAAGTGATCAGGTTTGATTGTGGAGAGGCATTATGAGGGACACCTCTGCAGCTGAGCAGCATCTCAGGCAGACTGAGCACACAGTTCATTAGCATAATTTCACCCAGGGACTGAGTGGGCTATCTGTACAGGCATCTGAGTCCTGCAGACATAATCGTGACAGTAAGAGGACTAAATGGGTTGTTTCAAGCCTTGCTGCCCTGGTCACTGGGCCCTCAAGGCTGGATTCTTATTGTCACTGCAGCTGGTTTGTCACAGCAGGCAGCAGGTGGCCAGGCGGAATGGGATGCTTTTTTCCCCAGTTAGATACATACTGAGAGCATGTTGGTGGTGCTCTCAATATATAAGGAATAAATAAATGGTCTACACAACTCTCAGACAAAGCAGGAGGAAAACAGGAGAGTGGGCCCCCTTTTTCCTCTTTGCTCTGTAAATTAGAAGACCCCTGACAGAAAAGCACAAGAAAAGTTTGCTTCTTCTTAGTCATACCTGGAGAACACAGTCCATACAGATCATGCAGAGACAATGAATGGAAGGCACCTTTTTGGAAGGTGAGCCAGATGCTCCCAGCCCTCACATACACAGAAGTTAGCTACAGCTTCTTCTGCAACAGCAGCAGAAGTTTCTCTGAGAATGAAGAAGAATAGAAGGAGAAGACCGATCAATAAACAGAGAAAACAGCAGCAGTTAAGTAGGAAAAAATGTTTATTTTTTCCTGGATGTCTGCTAAAAGGACACCTGAGGTTCCTCTGGGAAACCATTAACCAAGAGAGTGAGATTTGGAGGTTCTGAAAAGCACTAAGAATGTCAGGAGGTCTCTTATGTTGGGTAGATAAAAATTACATTTGCCAGTACTAATATTCCCAACTAAATCCAACATGTTTTCTGGTGGGTAGATTTTGTGACACTTGTTCTTCAGCTAGATCCCCTTTCAGAGAAGAATAAGTCTTCACTTCAGCAGGATTTACCTCAATTGGAGGCAATATAAAATATTATAAGGAAGTATAAAATTATTCTCTGTGTAGATATTACAGTGTACAGAATACCATTCTGTGAAGCTCCTTCTCAAAATAACAGGTGTCCATGAATGTGTTCATACATGAATATTTGTGGGTGTGTATATATGTGCTTAAATCAGCTACATAGGCAGCTCACAGCATCTTTCTTTTTTTGCAGTTTAGCTTTTTCAGTAGGAGTTGAGGAGTCATAAAAATTCCATGCAAATACATTTTTAATTTTTTTTTTCGCATAATGTAGAAACTCCATGCTAAATTTTGCCTTATTTTTCTCAATCATAGTTTGCTAAGATCTTTTTCATTCTGGAGAGACAAGTATTTAGACCTGGGTGTGTTTCTAAAGGCAATGTATTGACTAGGAGGTTTTTATGGACAGACCCTAAAACACTGGAGGGTTTTAGTGTGTCTAGTAAGGTATAAGGCATTTAGGGCAGTAGTGAATACAATTCAGTGCATCACTTCACAGCGTTTCCTGACTGCCCTCACCTGTTGAACCCAGGAGTTACTGCTGCCACAGCTGAAGCAGCAGGACACAGCACACACTGTATCTCAAGAATCCAGTTCGCTGTCCAGAATATTAGTTAAGCCAAAAATGAAGGTAACATCCCCAGACTGGGAACTGGCACCAATGGACATCCTTTTCTGCTGCACTAATGCACCAGTGGACATCCTTTTCTGCTGGCTGTGCTGTGGAGTGTGATAATATCCAGCACAAGAAATGGGCAGACTGATAAAGCCAAGAGAATCTTCAAATGACATAGCTTAATTATGACACAGAACAAAGTGTCTGCCAGAGTATGTGCTTATGTGGAGCTCATATTCAGTGCAGTAGAGCTAATTATTTTCCTCGTGTCATGGTACTAACATTCAGAGAACGTAAAATGACATGGAAAGTGTTTTCTTCTTTCATATGGCAGTAAATGCCACGTTTTATTTCTAGTGTCACTCATAGCTCTTCCAGCTGTATGGTTGTCCAAATACCTCCCATCTTTGCTGAATCTCTGCTGTATGGACAAGTGTTTCCCTGCACACAATTGTGTTCTAAGCAATGCATAGTCCTGTGTGTCCTGGGGGCTCTTTGCAAATGGGTGGGGAGCTGTGAGCCAGCTGTGGTGGCGGGGCAGGGCTCTGTCCCTCCCCCAGCTTCCCAAGTCATGCCAGCAAGGCAACCCTTGGAAGCCAGCCCATGTTGACTGTGGCTGTGGAATATTTGGGTGGTGTTTGTAGTTAAATGGCGCAGGCTTCTGGGTGAGTGGAAAGGAACAAACCTAATTTTTTTCTTCAGTACAGTGGGCTAGTTTTGCAATGCTGTGTTCTAGCAGGAGAGAACTGGCCCGCACTCATCTTTGCAACATTTTAATGCAATCAGTCTAAAATTATATTCTTGGTATCAAAGTGGTGCTATATGGTGATATCTGAGTTGGGGTCAGTCTCTTGCCATGCTGCCTTGCTTAACTGCACACATAATACCACTGACCACCTACCAAGGGACCATCTGTAAGGCACCTAAGGCAAAGGGACCACCTGTACCATTACTGAGTGCTTCCCCTTTACTGATTTTACTGATTTACAAAATGACACGGCAGGCCTGTGAGGGAAACATCTACTTTTTCACTGACTGGTGAAATGCTACTTTTGAGAGTTAAGAAGTAGAGGTGATGATGAAGACATGAAGGAAATAATCCTTTCCATCTGTCCCTAAAAAATATTCACTTCATACAGTCAATTTCTGTTTATTCGGATAAAGATGTTATTTATAACATTTACTTCTAATGAGAAACAATTTGTAGTACTCTATAGGGAAGATGGGGTCTGATTATACCAGTGTATCACCAAACCCACATGTAATGTGTTTTGCTCAGTTTGCATATGCATAGGTGGTCATAAATGGTGCTAAGAAGTGGAGATCTGTCCCATTCATTTTGTTTTTTTAAACCAGCAGCAGTTAAATCCCATTGTAGCTTTTTAAGAAGTTGCTAGAAGAGTATGGTATTTTTAACTTTGAAGTCCCTATAAATCAAATCATGTCTTATGTGGAGGTTTTTTCTAAGTAAATGTAAAAAAGTGTTTTTATTTTTATGACTAATCATTATTTCCTCTTTTGTAAAGCACTTTTAAACTAGGAAAAGCTTTGTTAAAAAGTCCTCATATGATGATAGACTGTGAAAAAATGGGAAATATAATCTAGGTTGGGGTTTTTTTTAAAATCAATTATATTTCTTTGTTTTATTGCTAATGCGAATGCATTTCAAAATCAAAGTAACTTGTTAGAATCCACAGATCTTTACACTGCTACTGAGATTGTGTTTTGATTTCTTTGACATGATCCCTGATTGCTGTAAGAAGAATCAGTTCAGTATTTTTGTTCTTAGATTCCCCCTCCTTTGTCTTGCAGCTACTTGTGGCAGATTCCATTAACAATTGCAGTAGGAAATACCAGCCACATCTCATCAGAGGCAATTATATGGGTGTCTAACAAATCAGGTAAAAATAAACTTTCCTCCCAGTGGAATCTCATAAAGCATACTTGTGTTTTCCTCAAATGTATCTTTGGAATTGATCCTAGATAATTGTTTAGTTGCTCTGCACCCAGTTTTAACTGCTTAAAATGGATTGTGAAAAAAGCAGAGCTGGGAAGGGAGGGAGGAGGATGAAGGATAAGCAACAATCTAGATTTATAATATTGCAGAATTTAGACAGTATAATGTAAAGCTTTTACAAAGAAACGTAAAGTGCTAAGTATTTTATATTTGGCAAAACATATCAAATCACTGATGAATGCAATTCACTTTATTGATGGGTGAAAGTTAAATGTAATATTGTATAATAAAGCAGATATGATGAGTATGGTTTGGAACATACAGAATTCTAGCATTTTTAACTTGATCCATAGTCTCAACCAGGCCTAAGAAATGGTTGCTGTCATTAAAATTGTCCTTATTGATCTATAAAATATATTTGTTCTCTCTATTAGAAAACCATATGCTGGAATTCAAAAGTTTAATGTTGTGCTTATTACATTATTTTCTTCCTCCTCAGTTCCTGGATGATTGTAACAGTATTAGTTACTGTCTGGAGGAGAGTGAGTGCTAGATGCCAGTAGTTTTTTATCACCTAAGAAAAGAAGCCCACCAAAGAAATTTCATGAAATATTTATCTATTTTCTTAGCACTTCATGCTACATTGTCTGAGAGTTTTGGACTAGAATTAAAGAGAGTGAGGGAAGACATGTGGGAACTTGAATGGAATTATTATATAGAAGGAAAAGAAGGATGCATGCATCCCCTTGACATGGGGACTGTAGAGGGAGAACTGACCCTTTCTTGTATAATTAGAAAGATAAAGAGATTTCCCTCTAATAGAAAATTAATGGGAGAGAGGAGAGTCAAACCCGTGTGAGATGTTTTTTCTCTTTCCTAAGTTACTAAAATATGTTAGTCACATAGAGCATAGAGCTTAGCAGCCAGAAGGACTGGAAATGATCAGCCGAAATCTGAGTACCCCAACCTTCTAGTGGTACAAGGTATGTGTTGTTACCCAGATCATTTGCAGCCTATGAGAAAGTAACATGTTTTATGCTGCTCCCATGATAGAAAGATCTAGCAGTGTGCCTGCAGCCAGAGCAGTTTTCATACCTGGGGAACATGCTCTCATCAAAGCATATAGGTTCTCTCTTACTTTTCAGAACTTACTATTTTGGCTATACTTTTTAACATTAGCATTTCCAGAATACTTCAAGACCTGTTTGCACTTTCAGAGTCTGCCTTAATGACCTGTTCTACTTTTGTCCTTTAGGGCTTGATTGAACCCTCATTGAAGTTAGTAGGAAGGTTCCCACTAACTTCAGAGCTAGTTATCATCCCATCTCATTAGGTTGCCCATGCATGCCTCCCTCCTTTCACTCCCTCCAAAGTTCAGCATGTTACTATTATCTACATAGATGCTTCCTCACTGCCTTTTACTTGCAGGGTGCTGTGGAGGAACAAGTCCATAAAACTGCTACCCACTCTTTTAAGATCTACTGCTTCTGTTGGATTGCTTTCAAGAAATCAACAAATTAATGATGGCCAGTGTGAGCAATTATTTTGGGCTGGCTACTATATAGAAATTAAAGAGGAACCTTTCCGAGTCATCAGTCTCCTGTGTAGCAAATCAATGACACTGTGATCTGTTGTCATTATCCTTGTTCTTCCTCATTACTTTCACTCACTTATTCACTTGCTGTGCCTCATTGAAAATGAGACTGTAAACTTATGACTACAGCAAGAATGTCCTCCTCTTCTACTTATTGTGGTCTAGGCTGCTATGTATTGAGGCTGGTACACATGATTCCTGGGAGTTTTTCTGCAGCTAGTACGTTTGTTTCATGGGGATGAGGGAGGAATTCTGAGACTTCAAATGAGAATTTCCAGGTTTGATTCTTGTGGACTGGAAGAATCTTGAAGACTTTCTGTTGTATAGAGGACAGTTTCAGTATTGTCCCAGTGGGTAGTCTTGGAAAAAGTCTGCAAGCTGGAGGTGAAACAAGCTGCTGTAGAGGATATTTGGAAGATTGGAAGAGGTCACATTGTTCTTCAAGTGCGTGTAGTTAAATGCAGATATGCAAATCAACTTTGGAATAAATGCTATTCATGAGGGTGTTTTCTGTGCCCTTTTTAGGAAAGAGTAGGCAATTCCTTCTTGTTGACTAAACTGTTGTGCTGAAGGAGCTTCCAGTGTGACTGGAAGAGTGGACAGGAGCTAATGAACAGCTCTCTGTTGACTCAGGGATCTGTTGACTCTGGCTGGCCACCAGGCACCCACCAAACTCACTTTATCACTCCCCTCTGAAGCTAGACACGGGAGACAGAATATAAAAAAGTGTTCATGGATCTTTAATAAAGCCCGAGTTAGAGACCCCTCACCAAGTACTTTCTCAGTAAAACAGACTCTAAATGGGAGCAGGATAATGAGAAGTAAAACCAGACCTTAAAATGCCTTCCCCCCCTCTCCACCCCTCCCTGTTTCCTAGCTCTGCCTCCTCTCCCCCAGCAGTGCCGGGATAAGCGAATGGGGCTTATGGCCAGTTCATCACATGTTGTTTCTCCCACTGTCCCTCCCTCAGAGTCACAGCCTCCTCTCAGGCATCCACCTTCTCTGGTGTGGGTCTCCTCCATGGGCTGCAGGTGGATCTCTGCATCCCTGTGGATCTCCATGGGCTGCATGGGCACAGCTGCCTCACCATGGGCTGCACCATGGGCTGCAGAGGAATCCCAGCTCTGGTGCCTGGAGCACCTCCTGCCCCTCCTTCTCCACTGACCTTGGTGTCTGCAGGGTTGTTCCTCTCACACGTTCTCACCCCGCTCTTCTCTAGCCACAGTTACATCTGAGCAATAACTTCTTTTTTCCTTCTTCTTGTTCTTAAATCTGTTGTCACAGAGGCATTACTACCAATTGTGGTTGGCCCAGCTTTGGCAAGCAGCATGTCCGTCTTGGACCCAGCTGGTATTGCCTCTGCTGGACATGGAAAAGCTTCTGACAGCTTCTCACGCCTCTATGGCATTTCTCTAGCCTCCCCTCTGCTACCAAACCTGCCCATGCAAACCCAACATAGTCATTATTACTGATCACAGACCTAATTTCAGCTGCCCATAGGGAAAAGGATTCAAGTTGATGACTACCACTGTGATATCTTGGCATATCACTTAAATCTTCCAATAAAATTAACCTTGTCTGTGGGTTACCTGATAGAAATGAAACCACAGCAGTTTTGAAATAGCTACATATAGAAATACATCAAAACATGTTCCTTCTTTTTTTTTTTTTTTTGTGATATTTCGAATAACAGTATCCATCAGGAGTTAACCCTGTGCCTTGCCCTAGTTCACCAAGAATGGTTATTTGCTGATGTAAGAGGCTTTTCCTTCATGTGCATCCAGCAAGACAAAAGCAAGAATTGTTGATTTTTGCATCCTCTCTGCCATTGTGTCTGTGATCTCATCAAGATGTTTTTGGATACCTGTTGGTATTTTCATGAACAAAAGGATATGAGGCTGCTCTCCAGCTCTGTGAGACTGACATGAATTTAGGATGATTGAGTTGCTGCTCTTTCCTCATCTTGTCTGTCTCTGGCTACATGCCAGGGGTAGTGAGCATGCAGATCACTGATTGTTCAATATGCTGGGCAGGATCAGTTCAGATAACTGCATCTCACCACAGTTGCTGGCAACAATGCTAGGTTTGTCCATTCTTCACAGCACTGAAGTGAAGGAACACACTGGAAATTACAGCTGCACAGTGTCTTTTTGAGTTGCAGTTCATTGCCCTTTGCAGGAAATCCTGTAGAGAGGACAGTGCCAGGCCTTGGCAACTTGTTTGACAAGGTGTGTTGTCGCTGTTGAGTAAGAAATAACACACACTTACTAGAAGGCTGGTTTGCCAGTTGTTGCCAAGCATAGTTTTTTTACTTTGGATTCTCTTTTTTTACACATTGTTCTGATACAGATAGACTAGATTGGTCAATTAATTAATACTTTTCACTTGATTGGTTAATTAACAAAACACTTTTCTTATAAACAATCTTTGAGAAAAATAGGGAAACAGAGAGTAGGAAAACAACACCTGCAGGTTTTTTATAATAATAAGCTATCATCATTTATCTTCAACTGCCTAAAGTTTCACAAGCCGATTCTGGGAAAACTTATCTAGTTTTCTTGTTCTCTGACCAGGCTGTCGCATCCACAGTGCATAATATCCAAGATGTTTCAAATCTAATATAGCTCTTCCCACCTGTTTGTGGAAGGCACAATGTAGGCATAGTTTTGAAAGCTTTTCATTTGGCAAGTGCTTCTGCCAGTCTCTCTTCTCCTTACCCAATGAACCATATCATTTATGTAACTGTATTTCTTCTCATCAGTTCATATACCAGCCATCAGATGATGGTCCTTTTACTGGGTTCAGTTTGTCTGGTGTGTGAAGTGGAACTGTCTCATTTGCTCTCAGAGTGCTGCACAAAGGTCACCACCACCTTTTCCCTGTTCTCTCCCCATGGCCATAGATGAGGTTGTTCTGCTTCAAGTAACTGTGAACCAGTCACAAAGGGAAAATCTTGTGCTAGATCTTCCTATCCATGCTGAGGTTGGAAACATCATGCTAAGATGGCTGCAGCGCTCTTTGTGCCTCAATCTTGCAGGTCTGCTGAATGATAAATTTTACTGGCATTGTGGAAATCACTGGTGTTACAAACGTCTGCTCTGTCATATTCCAGGGCTTGTTTCTATTTCTCCTAGATAAGTTGCCTCTTTTGTAGCTGCTATAATGATCAGTGAACATGTATCCATAGCGTTTTGGGGTCAGTCCAAAATCAGTAGTGGGTAGAAAGCCAGGAACCAGCTTTGGACCCATTCCATGCTTATGACTGCTAAGCAGGGCTTGTGGGAATGTGTTGGTGATTTCTGATGAAGCTGTACTAGGTGTGGAAGCACAGGCTTACCTGTGCATGTTTCTCCAAATCTAGAACCGACCTTAACCTCAAGTGAGGAGGTTTAGCTAGCATCCATTTCCAATAGGTGAGCAGGGCTTTGGAAAAAGACATACTTGCTGTTCCCTGGAAATCATTTTTCTGGTGCTCAGTCTCCAAATAGGAAACATTTCCACGCAACTCCGCAAGTGCTGCTGAGCTAGCTGACACAGCTTTAGCCCCTGCCCTTTCCATCCCCGCCTCCTGTTTATTAACTGATTTGTTATGTTACAAGGAAACACTCCTTAGATAGACCTCCCTACCGCAGTTTAAGTGACTGCTGTTCAGATTGCTCCTATCATCTCCTCAGGATTGCCATGAGATGGGGGAAAGAAAGTTCAACAGGGTAATTCCCTTCCAACAGCAAGTCCCAATTTACTTTGCCACCTCCTACTAGACAATCTCTACTTTAAGCCACTCAACAGTCAGATTCTCCTCCAGGAAGTGTTTTGTTGAAGTCAGATGCTTCTGAGCTGGGGTTTGCTGGCTGCCTGCTGGGGAGCAGAGCATTAGCTGCAGCTTTAGAAAAATACCCTTTCTTTTCTTTTCTGAAACTCAGCTGCTGAGATTTACCTGTGTTGCTTCCAGACTCCACTCCTTCATCTTTCAAAAGTAGGAAGAAGGGAAGCACTGTGAAAAAAGATCAACATACAGGTCCTGTTTTGAGCCTCAGCCAGCTGTAGTTAGGACCAGAGATACAGGACTTGGAATCTTGTGTAATTTTGACAGAATGAGTCAGAATCATTCCCCTTATTCTGACAGCTGAGGATCCTAGCAGAAGACCGCTGCTTACATTGTGTATCACCTTAGTCATTAGCAGTTCCATCATATAGGTATATTAATGGATAGAAGGGTAATTTGAAGAAAGAGTTTTGTGAGATGGAACATGATCATATTTCCTGATGTGCTCCATTTATTGTCCTAATCTCTATACCAAAATATTTTCTTTCAGCATGAAGCTATGTCAACATGGCAAGTGAGATAGATAGAATGTTTTCTTCTGGATGCCTTCTCCCTGTATGAAAAGTTATTGCAAGAAGATATGCAGGATTTAGTAAAGCCAGTATAAATTATTATGAAAGTCCTCATGGAAAACTTTTTTGTCAGCAAAATTTTGCTTGCTGTTGTTGTCAAGAAATTGTGCTATACTTGTGCAGTTGTTTTTTGCAGCAAAATGGAGTTAATTTCCCCAGTAGGGATTCTACTAGTTTAAACCAATTTCTTAGTATGCTAGGGGTTGTATAAGGTAAAGAGTTAAAATAACAACTGTGAGTCAAAAGACTTGAAATGGTACTGGAACTGTGTTTTTAGCCCATACTTTTGGCAGTACTCTCTTGCAGAAAGGTGCCCTTCTCCCACAACTGCCCCACATGCTGGTTTTAATGGAATTGAAATTGTTGGGAGAGCTCAGAACTTCAAGCTAGGTGCACCTGCTGGAGGAACTATCTCACACTTTGTGAGCAGACAAACTGGGGAGAAAAATGAGACCCTAACTGATTTTTTTACCTCAAAACAAATAAGTTGAAACGTTTCCTCCTAAATATTTCCTAGAAGTATGCGGCAAAACTAGAAGTTTTAGAGCCTTGTTATTTTCTGAGGCATCCAGACAAATCATGACCATGGAAAAACACTTTCTGATGGAAGAAGATTTAAAAAAATGCCCTTTAATCTCACATATAATGGGATATATATTTTTGATTGACTTTTGAGAGGTGAACTAAAACCTTCAAAGATGGATTTCATTCCAAATGAAATCTTTGTTGTTGTTTAGAAAGTAATGAATGGTTTAATGTAGGGTTTAACACTGAGTTACTACCTTTTTGCTAACTATAATACTTTTAACAGAAAACTAATAAAAGTGTTTGTTGTGAGTGGAAACATTACCCAGGTATAGAAATGTTTAGTGCCTGTAATTACCAAAATAAATAACTTCTTTTGTAGGAAAGCATGAGAACTGACAGACACAAATATCAAATTCTAGTAAATTATATAGAACTGTATGAAGAACATGTATCAGGCAGTCCTATAAAATAGCCACCTCTTTATGTAAGTTGGGAAAGTGTGAAAGATTTCTGTCCTTTATTTCAGGAGAAGGTCAATACATGAGTGGGTCTTATTGAAAAATAATAGCAGGAGGTTATGGTTGCATTTAAACTGACTGAAACAGCAATAATGCCATTGTGATTTGGATAGATACTCTCTTCCTTTATAGTGATACATACTGGGGGTGTTGCATAGCTGTTACATGTGAAATAGCTTATTCTGAACTTGTCATATTTGACTGGGAAGTATCATTCAATACTCTGTTGAAGCATAAGTAATTTCCACACTTCGGAGGTGAAAATGTAATACAAATGCCCAAAGGAGAAAAGGTGCATGTATTTTTTAATTGCATAAGATTTTGAAAATTTCCATTTAATGTGTTTATTTACCCAAATGTTTTTTAATGTGTGCTGATAGCCAATTTGGTATGCTTTTAGGTAGCATTGTAGAGGTGCAAAGATTAGCTAGTTTCAAGCAGCTGCTTTCAGGACTGGTGGCATTTAAAGGTTAGTTTGCAACCAAAGAGCATGGGCAGAAAGCTGTACTGCATTAAGGTGGTACAAGGTTACTGAGGAACAGGATTCAAGTCTTCTCTTAATAGGATGGAGAAATGGGTTGGATCTGACTTGGACCCATGGAAAAAAGGATTTAAATAGAGCAGCAAGCAAGTCTAAGAGAATTTGCTTAGGACTGATTGGTACTGCCCTTTGTGGAAGAAAGGACACACAAGTGTTACAGCCTTGTTCCAAATCAGATTGTCTGGCAGAAGCATCTTAGGTACTTTGACAGTATGAACACCTGGGAAGTCCACAGAGTTGTAGGACTCAATTCAGATTTCCTCAGTTCTATTTCTGCAGGATATATTGGATCCTAAAGAATGTGTCTGCTTGGTGCTTTAGCACAGATAAAAGAGCAATAACAGTTGAATGGAACAGGCAACAATGGAATTTTTCTGGGCTTAATATTTTTAATAAGTGTATTTTCCAGAGATTTTAATGGTTTCAGAACTACCTAGGGGAAAAGAGGACTATCTATTTTAATCCTGCAGTTTTTTATCTGAATCCATATGCATAATGAAGGTCCATGAATTTAAACATATAATTATGTGTTTTTAAGATTCGGGTCTTGCTGAGCTTTGTACTTATTGCACTTTAAAGTAGTAGTTATTTGTGGGCTTCCTGTTAGTCAAGGGAGAAGCACAACTTTTATCTGTAGCCCTAGTTAACTATAATTTCCTCAGAAATTACTTTTATACAAGAAGGACTAAAACAAATAAATTTCTTTGGGAAGGCTATGTACTAGATAGTATGAGTGAATTGTGAAGACCTTACTCCTAACTTTTTTCCCATTTGTTACCTTCAGGGAGTTCAAGCACACTAAGAAATTTTCTAATGGAATTGCATTTTATAACAATTTTTATGTATTTATTTATTTTTTTAAAATGAATGTCAAGACTACTCCTTCAACAGTGTAAAAAATAATTTTATTGGTAGAAAAAAGTGTTTCTGAATTTTTAGTGAGTTCTTGTTCATGGTTAGTTTTGTCAAAATCATTTATTATATTGAAGACTTCTTCCAGGGGTGTTGAAGCCTGATGCTTTGTGCCTGATAAAAAAGAAGGGCATGTTGTGAGTTCAGGGCATTTCTGTTGCTGAAATTTTGAAATCTCTATTTCTGCAAATTGTTGTGGAGTGCCTGACTGCAGAAAAACAGTAATAAATTTAGACTTTCAGCCCTAAAGTGATTACTTAAAACAAGGGGAAAGATGAAGAACAGCTTAGGGGATATAAGGTTAATTGGTCTAGCTCTAAAGAGGAAGCTCTCAGTGCTTAGTAGGTGGAAGCTGTTCAACTGGAAGTACTTTAATTTAAAATCCAATGTAAAAACTTAATCAAATACATGCAGAAACACTTAAGAATCAATTTTTTTAATCACAGGTTTACTCTTCTCTCTATAGCACATTCATTGAATTTTTGAGTTACAATTGTAGAAAACTATTTAAGCATGGTCAGAATAAGGGTACCAGACTTAAAGCGAGTACCTCTCATAAAAATAATACTTGCCAGGAAAGAAAAAGCACACTTGAAGGTCTGTGTGTGTAAATGGTCCCCATGGGAATGTCAGTTGGCATCTCTCTACATCAGAACAGATGAAAGAAATTATTAATCTAACACAGTATTTTTGTTAGTCTTTGAATTAATTTTACTGCCTTCACGTATATTTAAAGAAGGAGAAAATGTAACAGATGCACCTTTAGAATTTTTAAATTTGAAACCTTCCCTTCTTCTTCTTTGTTTCCAGAACACCACAGAATTCCTGCTTTGGAAGAGGCAAGTTGGTTGCTGGGGAACATCAACCAGACTGGCTACTTCAGAGTTAATTATGATATTAGGAACTGGAAGCTGCTAATTAACCAGCTAACAAGGAACCATGAGGTAAGATCCTCTTCTCATCCCTAAAATCTGCTTTCATCGATGAACCTTCACTGTTTCATCACCTTAAATTGTTCAATTTTTGTGCTTGCCCCTCACAGGTTATCTCTGTCAGTAATCGAGCAGGCTTGATTGATGATGCATTCAATCTAGCCAGGTATGTTTTCCTGAAGATCATCTATCCTCATACACATTGCTGCGATAACTCATGCAACCATTAACTTAGCAGTTGAGTGTGTTTCAAAGTTAAGTATGTTTTAAACACACTTTAGTTTCCCTCGCCTGTCTTTTTTTTGTATAGGTCATAAAAATGCTCTGTAGCACATTCACTGCTCTTGATCAATAATTGCCGTAGGGTATTTCCGAGTCTGAAGAGATTTGATCAATTTTGCAGCAAGTTCAATTTAACACTTTGCAGATAAATAATCTCTTTCCTCTTTCTCTAATGACTGAGGGTTTCTTCTTCCGTTTCTCCCAGATGTCCCACCTCTCCTTTCTTTTACCACTGATCCTTGTGCTGTATTTAATTTGAGATGGAAGGCACCTTCAAGCTTCAGTAATTTTTTTGCCCTAACTTGTACTATTATATCATTTTTCCTGTATCTTTTTTTTTTCTATAATCTGCTAGAACAGACCCCTTTTTTCCTCTGTGGTGCTTTTCAAACATAATGGAAAAGCAGTTCCATTGAGCATTTCTGGAATTAATGCAACATTTTTTTTTTTATTGTGATGAGAGCTAATAATTAACACATACAGTGCTGGTTAGGTAGTTCCTTCTTTACAAATGGAGGCAATGTATTGGTCCCTATTTTGAAAGCCATTATGTTGATAGTGACAGTGTAAAATGGAGGAAAGTAGTAGAACATTTGTAGCTTTTTGATTTTGAGGTACTGGGAACATAGCATTAGTATAGGGTTTTGATTGCATAATAACAGATTTAATTGTAAAATTGCAAATAATGTGATTTTACTTGCACTGTCATGTCAAACGGAGCATGAAAAGAATTGCTGATACTAGTGTCTTTACATTTAACTACAAATGGTCACTGGAGGTGTTTGGGCTTCAGTCACAGTGTCGCAGCTCAGTGATGTTCTAGCATCACTGCAGTAAAAACAAAGTTGTGTGCCCTGCCTCTCTGTTCCTGCTGCTGACATATAGTGATTAGCCCTTAGTTAACAATCCAGAAATGTAGTAGGGAAGGAGGTATTGTGGGGAGAGGTGTATCCATTTGCTTTTGGCATGGCCCATCTTTCTTGCTTTGTGACATCTTCCCATTGGTAACAGTAAAAACTACAAATAGGTCATTATTTGACCTATTCAATAGGTCATGATTTGTCTACTCTCTGACTAGAAGACTATTGCAAATTATTCTGAAATATTTAGACTATTAGAACTACCGGATGTTGAGTAAATTCATAATCTATTCAAATTTTATTTGATTTTGAAACCTCAGAGAAGTAGTATGCAGTTACACAGAGCCAGTACATCGCCTTCTTTTTCCATGCACTTAATGCAGTCAGATGTGTCTAGACTTCCCTGAAAGTCTAGATCCTTAAAAAAAGCTGTTTCTTGAGCCAGTTTTTGTAGGTGAGTGTTTTTCTTCTGAGTCAGTATTGAGCCAGTGCTCTCAGTCTTGTTCATAGAGTATTAAGATGAGGTCTTGATTAAAGACCCAACCTGCATTGTCTGACCAAGTTTCATCTACCTAAAAATCACTCAGAACATTAGATGAGTAATGCTTTCCCCACTAATTTTCTGAAGTACTTTTATGGGGATACTTGAGCTGGCACCTTTTTCAGAGGTAACTACACTAGAACCTTATGAAGTCTTTCACAAGATTTCACGTTAAAAAAACCCTTGACTTTGTTTTGTTAATGATGGTCTTATCATGCACTGTGGAAAAAAGTAGTGGAGCTATAAATGTATGTCTAGACACATGTGCATACATGCGTATCACTTAAGAGGAAATATTCTTCCAATAGGGATATGCAGCTAGACTCCTGTTTCCAGAGTCCTGTCAATAGTGTTACCTTGAGTATGTGCCTTACAAGCCAGTTTGGAGGAAGGATCTGTTTGCAAACAGTAGATTTATGGTCTGTAGTTCAAGAGTAGCAATAAGATATGTGGACCTGGCTAAACTTGCCATGTAGGGTATACTTCTTGTTGATCTTTATTACATTGTTAATCTGTCTTGGTTTGAAAAGACAGGTGTCTGTTAAGGAAGGCAGGAGCCTCTCTTGAAATGGAAAATGTGAACCTCCTCGCTCCAAATTACTGTAATTTTGAAATTAGGAGGCTCTCAGGCAATGATATGGGAATAGGAATAACAGTCCTTTACTAGGAAAACTAAAAAGCCCCAAATGCAATAATACAAATGAAAAAAAAAAAAACATTGACAGAGTCAGAATACAACCTGACACTTGGTCAGGGTGTTGGTAGCAGTCCCATTCAATGGTGGCTGCAGTCCTCCTGCTGTGACAGATGTGGTTCTGTTGAAGCAGTGATGCTGTAGAAGGGTGGAGTTTTCCTCTGAAGGTCCAGCGGTGGTGTAGATGGGCCTGGTTTTCCTCTGGGAATCCAGTGGGGAAGACAACTGCTCCTCTGGGAATCTGGTGGGAAAAGGCTGCCTGTGGTGTTCCAAATCTCAGGTTATATAGTAGGCAGGAATGCTTGGCTCCTCCCCCTGGGTGGAGCATCTCCCAATGGGATGATATCATTTTATCAGTCATGCAGTGACACTCAGTGGCCCATTAACAGAAGCTGCTTCCTGGAGGGAGGATTGGTTTGTGGAAGAGACAAAGAAAACTGCCCAATTAACAGAAGATAACTGCTCCACCTCTAACAAATGGCAAATAGAATACACACCTCCAGCTGCGTCTTTCAACCTAAGGCAATCTATCATCTTCCTATTTAAAAAAACCAAAAACAATTATAATGATGCTGAAGTTATTATGATTGGCTTGGTAGTTCAGATCTGATTTCTGAGAAGACTGGCTGTTTTTAACAGTAATTCAGTCCTCAGTTTTGGTCCCTAGTTGCAGTGATGCATTTCCTTGTAGTCTACAACTATAAACATATTTTTTTTGAGAGAGAGGAAAGAGAACTGTGGAATACATACTTTAATTCTAATCCCTAGCTATTATTTTTAATACTAAATAATGTAAAAATTAAAACATAATTTCTTAAATTCATACTGGCCCTTTCAAAAATTGTTTCTAATGTAAGCAGGTTTTTCTTACTGTCCTGTGGAGACTGTATTTCTTCAAAATACCCTGTCCTTCTTAGAAACTTCCAAAGTACTTCCTACTGGTACAGATAATAACAAAAGGTTTTGACTGAATTTTTCCACTATTATAATATTGTCTGTCCTAATATGATTATTTCTGTGTCATTATACAGCTAATTGATTTGTTTGTGGAACAAGTGCCACTCTTCTCTTTAGTTAAATTTAATAATATTTAAAACTAGAGAAAAGTGAAAGAAAGTGCTCATATAAATTGTTTTGGAATGGCACATTTTATTTTTTAAAGGTGTCTTTGATTTCATTCCTCTGAAATGTTTATTATCCTTCTACTGACCAGCATAGTGATTTCTTGAAAATCAACAACATAAATAAAATGATACTACCAAGGAATATTTAAAACTCTGTAGCTTTTAATTGCATTTTTTTGGGTCCATTTTATATGGAAATGCATTCCTTCATCTTCCTTCTTGCTGTATTTTGGTTTATATAACATTCTTCGAGGAGAGTTGAGTGGAATAATAACAACAAAAGAAAGTTACAATTTGTTTGTTTTTCAGATTTTTAAGCGTAATTCTTGGCTGTAGTGCATGCACATACCCTTACAATATAAAAAGCTGTATCCTTGGCAGAACATAGAATAGCACCTTGACACTCCCTCTTCCCTTCTTCTTGAAGATTCTTTATCTTTCTGTTTGCATGAGGTTTCAGTAGAATTTAAAAATTTGTTAATTCTAGTAAATGATACTAGTAAACATTGACTGAAAAAGCCCAGAAGCCATGAGAAGACAAACAGAACTGGGGTTCTCATCTAAGTTTAGACAGAGCAGAGGGCAAGTCTGGTAGCTCCAATAAGCAGCACCACAATAATTAACAAAAGTTTCACTGTTTCATAAGAGTGTGAATAACTTTGTCAACTTCTTATATCTTTCTCTTTCCTTAAGATAAGGGGTCAGTTAGTGAGTATGTGAGGTGGGATGCCTCCCAATTTACTTTAGGCATTCCGAAAATAGACCTGTAAATTTGACATTCTCACCTTGTAGTGCACTGACAGTTAATGGAAAGAAACATACACCTGACCTTTCAAAACCACTTAACCACATAAGATAAAGTACTCACTTAATGTTACGAGTGTTGTGTCACCCCTGGTTCTTCCTTGATGGGCTCTAAATCTTCATAAAAGATTTCTCTCAATAAACTGGTTGCCTTGGTCTAGTATTATGTGAAAGAAATAGGCCTGGCTAATGTTTAATGTTAATCAGTGTTGAATCAGATGTGGCTGTGAATATCTCTTTTACTGTCATCTAAAACCACTGTTGTTGTTTCCAGTTCTGTAAGCACTGAATGAGAAAGCACAAAGTGGTGTTGTTGGTAATTGTTCTTAGGCTCCAAGGATGGATGACTGTGTTGGAGTGCTGTCCATTGCCATGCACAGATTGAGGGCAGATTGAGCTATACTCTCTTCAATGAAAGAGCCCCTGTAGGCTTCACAAATATGGAGAGCTGTATCAGAAATGAGCAACAAGAAAAAAATGTACCTTCAGAATTTTCTGTGAACTAAGTGACTTCCATGCTGTAGATGGCCTTCATAAGTGTTCTGTCAGAATTTCCTACATCAGACCAAAACCAGGATCCTGGTGCAAATAGATAAATGGTGAATTATGATGATTGTTTTCCTGTTGTTAAACAATTCTTTGTGGCTTGTTTCTTTCCAAGCTGTGAGTTCTGCTGACTCTATAAAACCCGTGTCTGCAGGCAAGAGAAAAGGCAGTGCCAACCTAGTTTTCAAAATATAAATCAAGGTTATCTCCCTTCACATAAATGTATCTTTAACAGCTGGTGCATTTGACTCCAAGATTGATTCCAGAAGTAAAATACTGAAGTAAGCTAATGGTGACTCCAGATCACTTTCTCAC